CGGACCGTTCGCCGAGATATGACCAATTTCGGCATAAAAAGCCAAACAAACGATCAATAAAATAATGGTGCTTTTCTTTAGTTAAAAACAAAGTTTGACTGTATTTGCAGGATGTTTTTCGGTTTTGTGCTGATATGTTGGTGGTCTGCGGATGAGTTAGGCATGAGAAGGAGTCAAAGACAGCAGTTCAATCAGAGGCTGTACCAATCTAGGTGAAGAAAATAAGAAGAAATTTCTTTTATCAATATGTATAAATATATTTTTAGTTTTTATTAGATTTATCCTAGTCTGATATTACAAATTCGTATTTCAAATTTCTATTTTTTATTTCAAATCTAACAGTCTCCAGTTTTCCCCACATGTGTTTGTATTGATACGTTAATCTATGTGTCCGCCGCATATGTTCCTGGAGTGTACAGTACCGTCTTAAATAATCTTCCCTGTCTATAATAAAATAAGCCAAGGTGTGTATCTCGAGCTGAATATTTTTTGAAATATTTCACCATTCCAGTTTCTAGAAGATTTTCTAGAACTTTTTCAAGTTCGCAGCCTTTCACAGTCCATAAGCAAAAAAGTATTTAGATCTACACTGTATTTTTTCCTAACGCCAAGATTTTTGGCTAAAATTCTGTAGAATTAATGACACTTACATTTATTTTCTTCTGACCAAAATCATTTCGAATAGATGTTAGAACCTTCACCTTTCAATTCAATAGCAATCGTTTCCGTTTTCAGTCCGAGTCCGAAATTTAGAACAGTGACCCTGCAGATATAAATTACAGACATAAGATATCGATTCGCTTTTCTTAGTGTTTTCCATTAATTTGTTTCATTGTGCATATGGAAAACATATTTTTAAGTTTAATTCTGTCATTAGCTAAATTAGATGTGTTGACATAAGAAAAAAAAACACATATAGATTGGTCTGGAAACGAGACGTTTTCACAAAACAAAGACGCCTCGGCTAGGTCACGCGATTCGGTTATCTACGTGTATTTATAGCCATTACAAAAAATCAAATTTGAGATAATTTGTTGATAAGTCCAAAGAGTTATTGTTAAGTTATCCTTAGTACATTTTGACAACAATTACAAATGTACAATGAAATTAGTGTTTTTTTCTAGTTCCCGGTTCTCGAGGTAAAAATGTACTTCACACGTTTTTGAAAAAGGTCGAGTTTCGTAAGCTTTTTATTTATTCATTGTTTTTGTGAAAAAAATGAAATAAGTGTCACATGTTTAAGATTTTTTTTATCTTTCGTTCTGTTTTTTAGAAATATTTGATGTTGAATTTAATGCATCTTAAAAATGCAGCCCTTCCGCGATATATTTTAAGCATTGAATCTTCATATTGCAATGTATGCACTGTATTTTATGTTACAAAATAATATTCTTACTAATGGGAATCATATAGGACTTTTCAAGATCATTCTATCTGAAAGATCGTGGTTTAGGTACTTACCGCGTCTTGCACAATATAAGTAATGGAAATAGCAATCGACATTTCTTAATTTTTATTTGAATAAAAGTAACGGAAAATGAACCCACCACTTTTTTGATAAATAGTGGCATTGCCAAATTTTTGACAAATATTGTAACAGAAAAGTGATTTTGTTAATAACAAGTGACCGATAATTCAAAATTCATGGGTATATGTCATGATGGAGATGTTTAAAGGAACTCCACTGAGGTTCAAATGCCTAAAATCATAAAAAAAATTTTTTTACACAGATCAGCTTGGACACGTAAAACAGGAAGACTTGCAAACAAATAATTAAGAAATTTACTCAGAAATGAATTGAAAAGCGTATTTTTGTGACATTTTTTATGATTTGAGTGAAAAGCGTTTAAACGCTTTTCAATTTTGGGTCATTTTCAGTACTTGAATAATTATCCTGGATAAAGCAAAAGAGCAAATGATCTAAAATGTTGCACACAAGTTACTTATTTAGACCTACATCAAACTGAGCATTAATCTCGAAAAAATATTTCCAGTCTCGTCATGTCAAAAAAATCTGAGTGGAGTCCCTTTAAGTGTCAATTTACTGTTTTAACTTTACAATGAATTTCAATTTTTGAACCTCCTTTTGGAGAGTCACAGTACAAACACAATCACCAAAATTTTAGTCGCTGGTAAGATATTGTTCGCTTCCTGCCAACAAACAGTAAACAATTACATTCACATAGAAATCTGAAAAAGTCTGTTTTATTAAAACAATTCACAAAGGTATGAATAAGACATTGATTGTAAAATGACTCTTGCTGCTTCTTTATCAATAAAGTAACGGAAAGTTACCTAACCGCTGCTTGGTAAATACTGACAGCTGTTGCTGATTTTTATGCTGGTTTAGCTTAGATATGTGACTTAACAGTTTACCTTGGATTGTCTTTAAATTTCTCTTGTAAAGTGTAGCATAGTACGGTGTCGGCTCCACTATCAGATGGTCCGTGGTTGTAGACGGCCGGTAAAACAAAGGAAGGCATCTGACCCAAAGTTTCCTGGTTTTATATAATGGTGAAGTGAATAATTGACATTTTATAACACTCATCAACAGTTCGTATACTTTTCAATAGCAAACAACATAGTATTCACTTTTATTAGAATGCATTTTATGATTGATATTTTCTTTTTTGTCATTCAAAAACGAAATAAAATTTATCCCTTGATTTGTGACAGCTGGACCCTAATCGTTCCTTAAGGTCGGATTTCGCCATCGACGTGGTATTGTGTTTTTATGAATTAAACATTATGGACAAATAAGTATATAGACCGAATGCCATAGTGAGTATATCTCAAGCTTATCACAAGTGCGAGCCAGGTTCGAATATTTTACATTGGAACCACTTTTTTAAATTGATCTATCTGCATTATTTGCAATAGTCCTTTGTATTGCAAATTTTATGATGTCACTCTCTTATTATTTCAATAATTGATTTAGTGTCAATAACGTCGTTAGTTTCATTTTGATAACAGGCTTTCTCGTTAATCATTACATTTTGTGAAATTTAAAAGAAAATAAGTGTCTTCTTCTACAGCATTTAACATTTACACCGACATATCTTCCGGTTTGTATCTTTTACAGAAATATACCACATCGGAATTGGGCTAAATGAGACCGTTCAATCTTAGTTAATGACGAAAGCAAATAATTTTCAGTATTACAATGCTGTTTAAATTCAATATATGTTTCAAAGCAACATTTCTAACATTATTACACCAATCCGTTTTATATTTAACAAAACATGCAATTTCGACATCTTTTAGGTTTCCAGGTAACTTGATTTCATAGCAGTGTGACATTTAAATTTGATGCAGGATAATCTTTACATTATAGCACCATATTTTTCAAGAAACAATTGTAATCAAAGTTGACATTTATTTTTGGAAATCTATCGTCCGGTATATAAGTATCTTGGATATACACGCATGATGTATATGCTGTTGTTTGTGTTTAACAGTTCATTAAAAAGCTGATATAAAACAACAATGTTTGTCAATTAAGAAATTCAGTAACAATTTTACAAATTACCATTTTTTTCAGCTCTTGTAATTTAAATGTAATTTGTATTGCGAATGGCCATGACAGGTGTTCTTAGAGGAATATTCAATAAAAAATAAATCCAGTGTAGCATTATAAATTGCAAATAAACTGTTCAATAATATAATATATTCGTATATGCAAATCCCTGATATTGTATTATACTTATTTCTTTAATATCTGGTTATAATATAGAGGATATACAAGTAGTATAACAATAAATAAATTTGAATATTGTATTATGAGACCATCTGACTAAGACAATTTAGATATTTAAAAAAATGACTTGTAGTATCTTAATTAATACAAAACAGAAATGTTTTTAAAAGACATTTTACAATGGAATGCAACAAGCATTTCCAATATTTCAATCTGGACAACTTTGTCAACCCAGAAAAATAACATGATAAACAAACAAAACAGAATGTTGCACAAAACGGATTCTTCTCCCTTTCGCACTGTTTGGGCGAGAAGATTTTCGCCAAAACATCAACATCAGTATTAACAACAGGTTTACATAGAAATTAATAAGAATGACAAAACCATCAATTGAAATTCTAAATTTAGAATAATTTGGTTTTATTCAGTCTAATTATATAAAACATCATCGTGACCGAGGGGCTGCACGCTCGTTTACAATGTGAGAGGTCTGGAGTTCAAATCTCAGTCGTGGCAACTAATTTTTTTCTAAGAGATTTAAAAAAAAATTAGCCAGGATATGCAAGGGTATATTATGGCTGTCATAAAGAAATGAACATAAATGATTTCATGATGCAAGAAAAAACTCTGGTTATGCAAAATTCCGTATGTATCAAACTCAAACTGTTATAGCAAAAAATCTAAACGCAGTCGCTGCAACTCGGTGCCCTGCAAGATTAATTATAGTATTTCAAAATAAACTTATACAGAAAAAATACAGATTTAGATTGCAAAGATCAGAAAATACCACAAAGCTCGCAGCCATTTGATTTTATATGCAAATGTATTTGTAACAAGACCAATATGTTTTAAGTGACTGTGTGCACTAATTTATGTTGAGGCACTCTTTTTTAATGTGATTTTAAACGTTTTTTTTCATATTCTGTAAATATTTAACTTTGCATGAGAGTAATCACTTTCTAGAGGGGAATCACCGTACACACAAAAGAAAATGTATTGATACACTTTAACATAATTGATAAAGTCTCCATTAATAATAAGTTTGTTATGAATGAAGCTAATAAATAGACAATAAAATAATTTCAAATCAGTTTACAAAAGACTCACTTTTTAAAACAGTTTGCAAAAGTGCATCTTTTAAACTTTATCAGTCCTGATAAAATTTAAAGTTCTAACACGAAGACAAACTTTAATATGATCGCTTATATGGTTCATTCTGGTGACAAGGGTAAAGAGAGTAAATAAACAGCATTGTTATTCTGCACTCCCTGGGACTGAATTACAACTAACACGAACACAATAAGCCAAGTGATCCATAGATGTTAAATTAAACAATTTACAAAAAATACATAAATATCTTCACAATTTTCTACCTTACCAACAATTTCTCCACATAAATACTTTAATTTAAATTAACGGTATATTAGAAAACAGAGGTTTTGTTTTGCAATGGCTATCAGTCCATTTGTTTGGCTTCGACATGAACAACTTTATAATATAGCCGATCTTTCCGTTGAGAATGTAACCACTGTTAATGCTGTTGATATACGTGTTGTCAAAAACTTCAAATGTTACAGATTTATTATGTTGATCAAATCCGCCTTTGTGAACAATCGTGCCATTTTTTCCATTTGGATGTCTATTAACGATTATGCAGAGTACATGTATATCACAGGCAGTCTTATATTCACCAATGCTTCTAACACCACAGTAAAGCTTACTGTTTACTTTTTTGTGTAAATTGTAAGAGGGACCTCCCAAATCTCAATTTCAACTCCTTCACTCTCGTTGTTGTCAGGACAAATTGCTTCAAATAGAACTATGATCTTGTCGTCCCATTTCTTTTCAGGATCTAACTTCAAATCTGTTGTTCCCCGTAATGTTGACGATACATACTGCATTAACAACTCACATTTTTCTTCAACCTGTTCTAGCTCAGCTATCTTATTCTTCATTGATGTATTAACATGTAGAAATATCTCATTTAATGCACTTGCCGAAGGGAACGACTTACAGTAGTTTTCGTCCAATACATCACATGGCCTAGATGATATCAGAAATATGCATCTAGCACGCAAAGCTTTAAGATCATACAAACATGCTTCATTCAACAACTGAAACAGATCATCCGTCGATGTTTCTTCTGTAACAGTCTCAAGTATAACTACTTCACATCTCGGTTTAAGCTGTAGGACCTGGTACTCTTCTAACAAAGGAAGAATGACCCTAGCATTGTCGCAATTAATTTGGGTGTATGTGTTCGGGTAAATACATCGAAGGAATTCTAAGACGTCCCTTAGTTTCTTCCCAGGCAATTCTAACTCGTCATTTGACTTTTCCTTAAAGTCAGATTGAAACATTGCATCAAATACTGGTGATGCAAGTGACAGAATCACCTTTGCGACGTAAAGCTTTGTTCCTTCAACAACAAGACACAGATCAGTTCTCCAAGAGGGTTCAGTGAAACCGAAAGTAGGCGACTTATCTTCGGCCAGTGCCACTGTTTCACTATCTTCATCGGCAACGATATTTTCAACTTCTGAACCCTCAGATTCGTTTACAATTCTGACGTTTTCACCTGCCTCCATATTAAGTGTAGTTCAGTAAAAGTTCGGTATGTGTAGTGCATATCAATCAGCTAACAATGGCGGTTATACATCAAAGGGAGGAAACCCGGATGTTTGATAGATGATATATAGCGGCAGGATACTATATAAAACTAAGTTCACATTCAAATAATCTTATAAACGGTGACACCAATGTTTTGGTTATATTTACACCAATTTATTAGGGGTTTTATACCTCAACAATTATATTCTGTTATTATTATATTAGTTTTGTTTTTACTGGATTTTGAACAAAGTTTTTGGTTTTATCTCTACGGTTTTCCACCTTACCAACAACTTCTCCACAAGTGATTCACTACGATATATGCACTACTGTTATGGTTAATAACATACTACTTTAAATTTCTATTTGGACATTGAGTCTAATGGTCATTTGTCTCTGACCACTGAAACAGAAGTCATGTATTAGTCAGGCATTTGAGGAGAAATTTCCTGGTTGAATATTTAGGAAAAATACTCGGACCGTTCGCCGAGATATGACCAATTTCGGCATAAAAGCCAAACAAACGATCAATAAAATAATGGTGCTTTTCTTTAGTTAAAACAAAGTTTGACTGTATTTGCAGGATGGTTTTCGGTTTTGTGCTGATATGTTGGTGGTCTGCGGATGAGTTAGGCATGAGAAGGAGTCAAAGACAGCAGTTCAATCAGAGGCTGTACCAATCTAGGTGAAGAAAATAAGAAGAAATTCTTTTATCAATATGTATAAATATATTTTTAGTTTTTATTAGATTTATCCTAGTCTGATATTACAAATTCGTATTTCAAATTTCTATTTTTATTTCAAATCTAACAGTCTCCAGTTTTCCCACATGTGTTTGTATTGATACGTTAATCTATGTGTCCGCCGCATATGTTCCTGGAGTGTACAGTACCGTCTTAAATAATCTTCCCTGTCTATAATAAAATAAGCCAAGGTGTGTATCTCGAGCTGAATATTTTTGAAATATTTCACCATTCCAGTTTCTAGAAGATTTTCTAGAACATCAAGTTCGCAGCCTTCACAGTCCATAGAAAGTAGATCTACACTGTATATTCCTACGCCAAGATTTTGGAAAAATTCTGTAGAATTAATGACACTTACATTTATTTTCTTCTGACCAAAATCATTCGAATAGATGTTAGAACCTTCACCTTTCAATTCAATAGCAATCGTTTCCGTTTTCAGTCCGAGTCCGAAATTTAGAACAGTGACCCTGCAGATATAAATTACAGACATAAGATATCGATTCGCTTTTCTTAGTGTTTTCCATTAATTTGTTTCATTGTGCATATGGAAAACATATTTTTAAGTTTAATTCTGTCATTAGCTAAATTAGATGTGTTGACATAAGAAAAAAAACACATATAGATTGGTCTGGAAACGAGACGTTTTCACAAAACAAAGACGCCTCGGCTAGGTCACGCGATTCGGTTATCTACGTGTATTTATAGCCATACAAAAAATCAAATTTTGAGATAATTTGTTGATAAGTCCAAAGAGTTATTGTTAAGTTATCCTTAGTACATTGACAACAATTACAAATGTACAATGAAATTAGTGTTTTTCTAGTTCCCGGTCTCGAGGTAAAAATGTACTTCACACGTTTTGAAAAAGGTCGAGTTTCGTAAGCTTTTTATTTATTCATTGTTTTTGTGACAAAAAATGAAATAAGTGTCACATGTTAAGATTTTTTTATCTTTCGTTCTGTTTTTTAGAAATATTTGATGTTGAATTTAATGCATCTTAAAATGCAGCCCTTCCGCGATATATTTTAAGCATTGAATCTTCATATTGCAATGTATGCACTGTATTTTATGTTACAAAATAATATATCTTACTAATGGGGAATCATATAGGACTTTTCAAGATCATTCTATCTGAAAGATCGTGGTTTAGGTACTTACCGCGTCTGCACAATATAAGTAATGGAAATAGCATCGACATTTCTTAATTTTTATTTGAATAAAAGTAACGGAAAATGAACCCACCACTTTTTTGATAAATAGTGGCATTGCCAAATTTTGACAAATATTGGTAACAGAAAGTGATTTTGTTAATAACAAGTGACCGATAATTCAAAATTCATGGGTATATGTCATGATGGAGATGTTTAAAGGAACTCCACTGAGGTTCAAATGCCTAAAATCATAAAAAAAATTTTTTTACACAGATCAGCTTGGACACGTAAAACAGGAAGACTTGCAAACAAATAATTAAGAAATTTACTCAGAAATGAATTGAAAAGCGTATTTTTGTGACATTTTTTATGATTTGAGTGAAAAGCGTTTAAACGCTTTTCAATTTTGGGTCATTTTCAGTACTTGAATAAATATCCTGGATCAAAGCAATAAGAGCAAATGATTCTAAAACTGTTGCACAGCACAAGTTACTTATTAGACCTACACTCAAACTGAGGCATTAATGCTCAGAAAGAATATTTCCAGTCTGCGTCAGTTCAAAAAAAATCTGAGTGGGAGTCCCTTTAAGTGTCAATTTACTGTTTTAACTTTACAATGAATTTCAATTTTTGAACCTCCTTTTGGAGAGTCACAGTACAAACACAATCACCAAAATTTTAGTCGCTGGTAAGATATTGTTCGCTTCCTGCCAACAAACAGTAAACAATTACATTCACATAGAAATCTGAAAAAGTCTGTTTTATTAAAACAATTCACAAAGGTATGAATAAGACATTGATTGTAAATGACTCTTGCTGCTTCTTTATCAATAAAGTAACGGAAAGTTACCTAACCGCTGCTTGGTAAATACTGACAGCTGTTGCTGATTTTATGCTGGTTTAGCTTAGATATGTGACTTAACAGTTTACCTTGGATTGTCTTTAAATTTCTCTTGTAAAAGTGTAGCATAGTACGGTATCGGCTCCACTATCAGATGTCGTGGGTTGTAGACGGCGGTAAACAAGGAAGCATCTGACCCAAAGTTTCCTGGTTTTATATAATGGTGAAGTGAATAATTGACATTTTATAACACTCATCAACAGTTCGTATACTTTTCAATAGCAAACAACATAGTATTCACTTTTATTAGAATGCATTTTATGATTGATATTTTCTTTTGAATAAACAGTATGCTGGCCATTGTTTCAAACAATAGAACACGCACTGATAGATTATAGAATAACGGTGGTACAAAGAAATAGTAGGAAAAGTTTATTTGTCACGTGTGCTCTGATAAACTGCCATGAGCCTCACTCAAATTATAACGTGCAGATGTATTAACTGCCAAAGGCACACGTGTCAAATATTTCGTGTGCACGTATAACTGGATGTATTTCAATTAATCTATCAGAGTTTGGGCATTATGGATAGGCTAATCCTAACCTTGCCTAACAATGTGCCGAATAATAGTTTCCGATCTCCCTTCTGTACCACCGAAACAAAAAAACCTTACACAATTATAATAAATTGTGAAGATAACATATCTTTTGATTCTTCAAATGCACAAATAATATACATGTACAGCTAAATAATTATGAAGCTCACACTTTATTCTCATTTTTTGTTCAAGCAACATTTCATGAAATTATCCAAATGAGAGAAGTTCTATTGTTTTTATCACTATTTGAAATAATTATGAAAATGTGCCCATTGCCGTAAAGATACAAATCAAAATACGTTTATGAATGAAATACCTTACCTCCAACCTCAATAAGTATCGTATTATTTTCTTTGAGATAATCATGATGATTGATGCAGACATATCTGTCCTTAGCAAGTTCTCGGCGCTTTTATCCAGTCGACATATTGCCGACAATGAGAAATCCTATTAATTGATCATAGCTTAAAGAATGGTTGAACAAGGCTTTTCCTCCAACAACAGGAGATGGATGTCCGTCCAGGAAAAGTTGTAAATGTTTATTATAAACCACTTTCTTTTGTTCGCCATCTGTAAAGAATTGTCTAATATCCGACCTGTTTTCTTTTAAATTCTGATTTTGAGTACTGTTATACAAATAAATTATCAAAACAACTATCACACAAGCCGTCAGTATCCTTACGCCATTTAGCGTTTTCATTATTAATTAACAACGTTAAATATTTTCACGTAAAATCAAACTTTCCTAAATGCACACATATATATTTATTGGCGTATTTGCCAGAGGCATTCATCAGTTCAGTTTGTATATCAAAACCACATGGTATATTTGTTTTAATATCATATATGTTTTAAGAAATGTAACATATATGTTTATCTGTTCAATTTAAAAGAAATTTGTGTTACGGTGGATTATTGTGATTACATGTACTGTATTTTGTCGTGGTTTAAAACCTTGTTTTATTTCCGAGTTTCATCGTGGTGACCGTGGTTTATCTATAATAATAACGTGGTTCATCGTGCATATCGTGGTTTATCATGGTAACGGTTATTTAGATCATTTACCGTAGTTTCTACCGTCGTTTTTCGTGATTAACGCGTTTTTAATTGTACATGTAGTTTATCTCTGTCACTGTTGTTGTGCTTTTATATATGGTTATTATTGTGTTGATAGTTTTATCATAGTTATCGTTGATTTATACCGTTATTTATATCGTGACTGTTGTGGTTTGTAGTTGATTCCCTGTTACCGTCCTCGTTGCCTTTGCTTTTTGTTGTTACCGTGGTTTATCGTGGTTACTATGGTATATCGCGATTATCGTGGTTAAAACGATTAATTACCGTTTTGATCGTAGTTGATGTGGTTTATCGTCGTTAGCCTGGTCTATCGTGATATTTTCATTCTACAAACATTGTTTGTAAGGTCTACAAACATTGTTTGTAAGGAAACCAATCAGACACTAGTACCCATTATAATACGCGCACATTACAGCATTAAAGGGGCTAAACTCATAACAGCTGGAAAAATGTAATGATGCAGTTATCATTCTTATAAAGCTTCTGTCGTGCTGTACATGTATATACTACGTGTTTTGTCAAATATTGACATATTTCTGATCTTTACCGGAAAACTTGTTCCGATTGTGGAACAAAATTAATGATGACCGTGGCAAGAAAAGTACGAATTTTGACTATACAGTCATAAAGATTTCTTCAGAAATTATATCATTGTCGAAAGTAGCAAATTCGTATTATCTGGCTGTATACTCCTGACATATGCGATTATCTTTCATTTTAAGATCTTTTACATACACTAATCACTGGAAAATGAATGGATGGGCCTCAACTATGACGCGATCTTTAGACAATTTTCTTTTCATGTAAAATATAAATCCACTCGCCCAGAATTGAATGTAAATCTGCGGCTTTAAACAACGCTCTAAATTAGGAGATAAAAATCTCGTTGTTGTATTATACAATTCATTAGGAGATAATCAATCACGTTGTTGTATTATACAATAACTTAGGAGATAAAAAAAATCACGTTGTTGTATTATACAACAAATTAGGAGATAAAAATCTCGTTGTTGTATTATACAATAAATTAGCAGATAAAAAAATCACGTTGTTGTATTATACAATAACTTAGGAGATAAAAAAAAATATCGTTGTTTTATTATACAATAAAGTAGGAGATAAAAATCACGCTGTTGTATTATATAATAAATAAGGAGATAAAATCAAGTTGTTGTATTAAATACTTAATTAGGAGATTTTGTTTGTTTGATTTTACGCATAGGAGGATAGTTTCCTAACCATCGTTCCTGGAGAGTTACACCAATACTAGACTACCTTCCTCCGCGCTAAACTACCAAAGCATCTCCCGGGGATCGAACCCGCGCCAGAGAGGTAACTGGATTAGAAGTCATCGACTCTAACCCATCGACCACGGACGCGGTCTTAATTAGGAGATAAAAAATCACGATGTTGTATTATATAATCAATTAAGAGATAAAAATTTCGTTTTTGTATTATACAGATCTAATACGTATAATAGTAATACCTTTGTCCTTCAAATAGAATCTAGACCTTTGTAATAATAACGACATGTTTCTACATTTATATCATAATATGAATTTGATTTATCCACTTTATTTACGATATACAAGTATATCAACGGTAACAGACTAACAGAACTTTATTTTTCCAACTATAAGACTCAATGTTTACACATTAAATTTTCCCGTATACCCGTATAATAATTCAATATTTCAATATAAATGTAGGTTATTTTTGTACTCCTTAAGTATGTCTTCTTGTATTCATAATGTTTCTTTTTCTTAAAATAGATTTGCGTTTGTCAGTTTGTTTTCTTCTTATATTTTTATCACTTCGTACGTTTATAATAGCCGATCTCGTAAATAAACGTAAATGTTGCTTTTTTATCCAAAACTTCAAACAGTACGTATTTCAACAACATATAAGTTGCATCAGTTGTCATTTTCTAGTAATTTATTTTAATGCTCTTAAAATTTTATACATATATATCAATATTTGTGTTGTTGTTTATTTCTTTGTTTTTTGTTATGTATAGAGTCGCTGGCAAGTTTTTATTTTGTTGTCTGCTGTGAAGAGTACAATTGTTCAATGTTTCGTTGGAGCACATTTTTAGAGTTAATGTACTTTATGCTTTTAAAGGGATACTCAGGCCAATTAATCACAAAAATATTAAAATGATCTTATGTACTCAAATCACGCTAAAATGATATTTTTTATAGTCCCAGCATAAATTTCGGTATATATTCTATATTTTGTGTTTTAAATCTTAAATATATCAAAATGCTAAACGAAATTTAGACGCCGACAGAACCACCGAGTAGTTTTAAAACAAGTAATGTGTCCTGAACATACCCTGGAAGTTACAATAACATATATTGTGGATATTGTATGATTGAAACAATTTGGCCTCTAAGTAGTTACTCTTTGTATTTTCCGTAACACTGGAATTAAAAAAAAATAACGCAGGAATTGTACAATAAAAACGCCTCGAATCTGTGCAACGTATGACCATTAAATGTAAACAAACCAAAATAGTATATCAAATTGCGCCACATATAGCTCTGAACATATTTTTCATCATTATCATTGCACTATTCGTCGACATCTTACTATAACTGCAACGATTAAAGCTCCAAACAAAAGGCTACCGTATACGCCAAGATGCTCCATTTTGATGAATAAAGCTCCCAAAGTATACGCATGCAATAGATATTTTTGCCATTAATTTCGTTTCTGTTTTTTAAATACAGAGGCTTTGTTTTTTAACATAGTACAAAGGCTTTGTTTTTGTAACATTAATTCATCATCATCATCACCACCATTATCATCATCATCACCACCACTATCATCATCATCAAAATGATCAGAACATCGTCAATGTCAACATCATAATCATCATTATCAGTGCGTTATAATTATCCGTACATCAGCATCATTATCTATACATCACTGTCATCATTTAGATCATCATCAACAACAACATCACCATCAATATTTTTTTATATTTGTTTGAGTTTTACGTCGCACCAACACAGTACGTATAGGTCATATGGCGACTTTCTAGCTTTCTTGAGGGAGGAAGATCTCAGGTGCCCTTCTATATATGCATTATTTCATGCGGACACCTGAGTAGAATTACCAACGTTCCTTAAGCTATCTGGAAATCTCTCTCATAATAACATTGTCACCATCAAAAGCATCATAATAAGCAGTACTCTTCATCATCAGCTAAATATGACCCTCGATAACATTATCAATATATCATCGCCATCATTATCATCATCACCAGAAAATTATTACCACCATCAACACCACCACCACCATCATCAACAACAACAACAGTATATCGTCCACAGACACACGCACATACTGTAAGTATATATTTGACATTTTTAATTTTCAGATACAATTTTGCTATATAAGTATTTTATTCCATACAGTATTGATACATTGCAATGCGTATTTTACAGTTACTGACTACACAACAACACTCGATTCTTCGTCAAGATATCAACCTTATTCAACTATTTACACAGTGTATTTACATTTCTTATAGTCATTATAGATACCTTTCTTTTTTGTCCTGACATATATAAATATACAAATCTCACCAATGTTCAAAGGCTACCTCTACTATTTGTTAGGCTTCGACATGTACACCTGTGCAATAATACCGATCTTTCCGTTGAGAATGTAACCATTGCCAACTTGCTCAATACTTTCTGTTCCTAAAATTTCAAATGACCGATTTTGTGCATATAACGGAAAACTTCCGTTGTAAACAATCATATGATTTTTTCCACTTGGTTGTCTGTTTACTAATATGCACAGCACACTTAAACCACAGATGGCTCTATTTTTACTAATGTTTTCGACTTTTAAGTAAAGACTACTATTCTTATTCATAATATTAATCTTCAGAGGTACCTCCCAAATATTAATATCAACTCCTTCACTTTCTTCCCTGTCACCAGGAATAACATCAATTATAACTATGGTTTTGTCATCCCATCTCTTTTCAGGATCTAACTTCAAATCCTTCTTTCTGTTACGTATTTCTGATGATATGTACTGCTTGAATAAAACATTTTCTTCCGCAACCTGTTCTAGCTCAGCTAACCTTTTCTTCATTGATGTATTAACATTTACAAAAATCTCATTTAACGCATTTGCCGAAGGGAACGACTTACAGTAATTTTCATCCAATGCATCACATGGTTTAGATGATATAAGAACTATGCATCTAGCACGCAGAGCTTTAAGATCATACAAACATGCTTCCTTCAATAACTGTAACAATTCATTCGTCGTCGTTTGTTCAGTGACTGTCTCTAACAGCACTAGTTCACACCTTGGTTTTAGCTGTAGGACCTGGTACTCTTCTAACAAAGGAAGAATGATCCTAGCATTGTCGCGATTAATTTGGGTGTATGTGTTCGGGTAAATACATCGAAGGAATTCTAAGACGTCCCTTAGTTTCTTCCCAGGCAATTCTAGCTCGTCACTTGACTTTTCTTTGAAGTCGGATTGGAACATCGTATCAAATACTGGCGAGGCAAGTGAAAGAATCAACTTTGCAACGTAAAGCTTTGTTCCTTCAACAAGAAGACACATATCAGTTTTCGAAGATTTTTCAGTGAAACCGAAAGTAAGCAAATTAACTTCGGCTAATGCCATTGTTTCACTTTCTTTGTCGGCAACAATATTTTCAACCTCTGCAGCTTCTGATTCGTCTTCAATTCTGACGTTTTCACCTGCCTCCATGCTAAGTGTAGTTTAGATCAAGTTAATAAATGTATCCACTAGAGTGAACTAATAGTGGCGGTTACAAATCAAAGGGAGAGAACCGGATATTTTGAATATCAGTAACGTATATGTTTTGGGTAGGTTTTAACCTTTTGATTAGAGTTTCCATACTTCATGCAGCCATTATAATTTCATTTCAACCTTATTTTCAACTATTTAGCACAGTTTAGGCCTTTTGATCAGTATTCTCAGTCTAACTGTTGCACGAAGATTCATTCTTGTTTTTTAGATCCCGAAAATGCATCAATCCAATTAAGGAAATGATTGAAAGTGTCTTCGGTCGAATTTTAATTGATACAATAATAATATCACAATTTATCATACAAAAAACATGCTTGTGTAAAATAGTTTTTGAAATCAGTACATTGTCCCCCACGGAATTTTTAACTTTATTATCAGTTATTCGAAATGATTAAGTTACTGTTTATATAAATTCTGACTGTGTTTGAAGAGAATATACCAGAAATAACATCATTTTCAAAACGAGTTTTGACTTATGAATAGTCAAGAAACATTGTATCAATTCTGTGTGAAAATATTCCAAATATTTAATATAGAAATACATGTAACTACACAATTTCTTTCAATAAAGAGGCATACTTTATAATAGTGAAACATTTCTAACAATTGTAACATATTGCGAGGGATAATATAGATATCTCAACGTTACAGATGTTACTGATTATGCTTCAAATATTTTCTGACACATTGTTTACTTAGGTAATGTCTTGACATTCAAAAACGAAATGATATTCATCCCGCTAGGCCCTATTCGGTCCTCATATGGATTTTTTTATTTGGACAGCCCAATCCACCAGTTCCGTCTGCTGATCTATGCCATCATGATTATGTAACTCTGATCTTTTTATGTTTCAGACTGTTAGGTAGTTACTGAAAGTGCAATTTTAAATGATTGTTTTTAAAATATAACGTAATTCTTTTGAATCATTTAATAGATGTACTTAAATCTTGCAAATAACTGTCCCTCAGACGTTCTTAAACAATACTTAACGACTTAATTTTGACTTTACGGCTGAACCTTCCTTAATTTTTAATTGAGCTGCTAAACTATATCTTCAAATGTCTAGCTGATGTCAATATGGTAGTAAAATTAATTTTCTCTTGCAACACTATTTGTAATCGTACTTTTGACAAACATGATTGTAGTAACTATTATTTCGCCAAAAATATGACAATACTTATTTAAGATGATGCCCCATACATTTTCATCCAATGAAATGATTTAGATTCGCTTCAATAAAATCACCTACTTTACATCAAATGTCTACTATTTTTTGCAGATAAAATGTGTATCTTTAGCGGCAGATTTATGGAAAATAGAAATAAAAGCTTCCAAATATAAAACTATTTTTGCATTTTATAATATTGCATAATTACAATAATTATAATGTTACACAATGCATGAAAAAAAATGGTGTAGTCTCAAAAAATGAAATTGAAAGATTTTCTAAACTTTTGTTAATATTCATGTCAGTTTAAGTATACTTATATATATATAGCTAGTGTCCCACAGGTACATATCAATACTTAATCCACACATATCAATACTTAATCCACACATATCAATACTTAATCCACACATATCAATACTTAATCCACATTTCATACATCTCACCATTATATATAAATATTTATTTCAGAATAATATATATTGTTTATATAGATCTTAGGTAAATCTCAGTTTGAGAAGGTAAGAGATTATAAATGAGATAAAATTGACAAAATTTAGGCCAATTATAAACATATCAATCCTTTAAATTAAATGTATTAAAGGCTATTAAAGCTTAAGATCATTACCTTTAACTAAAACAACCATAAGTTAAGATAAAAAATAACGAATTGGTATAATTCCCCCCCCCCCCCTCCTCCCAAAAAATAAAAATAAAACTGACTGAATTTTGTTTAATTAGCATTTCAATGTTTCATAGTTCATTACCAGATTATAATAAAATAGAATCATATTAAATATCAATTAATTTTGTTTATTTATGCAAGTTATAATTTTTTATATTTACTTATTCTAACAATTAAGTTTTAAAGTACAAAATCAGTAAAATTAATGACTTTGAAAAATTTGAATGTTGTTTGAAACCTATTTGAAATGTATCAGGAGCAGAACGAGCTAATTCATTAATTCTAACCCTATTTCCGAGGTGTCACGATGTAATAAACAAATAAAGCTAGGCCTTTTGTAGATATATTCCGAGAAAACTGGCTTGAGTAAATAAACTGATAGAAATGTTATCAAAATAAATGAAACAACTTGGCTTCTAAGTAATTACTCCGTGTATTTTCCGTAACACTGGAATTTGAAAAAAAAAACAGGAATAGTACAATAAAAACTCCGAATATGTGCGACGTATGACCATTAAATGTAAACAAACCAAATAAGTATTATATCAAATTGCGCCGCATATAGCTCTCAACAAATATTTCATCATTATCATTGCACTATTCATCGACATCTTACTAAAATTGCAACGATTAAAGCTCCAAACAAAAGGGAACTGAATATCCCAAGATGCTCCATTTTGATGAATAAAGCTCCCAAAGTATACGCATGCAATTAATATTTTTGCCATTATTTTCGTTTCTGTTTTTTCAAATACAAAGGCTTTGTTTTTTTAACATAGCGCAAAGTCTTTTTTGTAACATTTATTCATTATCATCATCATCAAAATGAGCAGAACATCGTCAATGTCAACATCATAATCATCATTATCAGTGCGTTATAATTATCCGTACATCAACATCATCATCTATACATCACTATCAACAACCAAAATCATCATCATCAACAACATCACCATCATCATTATTTTTTTTATCTGGTTGGGTTTTACGTCGCACCAACACAGTTCCTATAGCGACTTTCCAGCTTTATTGAGGGAGGAAGATTTCAGGTGCCCTTCCATGCTTTATTTCATGCGGACACCCGAGTAGAGCCACCAACGTTCCGTAAGCTAGCTGGGAAGCTCCCTCATAATAACATTGTCATCATCAAAATCATCATAATAAGCAGTATTCTTCGTCATTACATCGTCCTGTTCAGCTTCATCAACATCAGTGCATCTACATTATTAATCATCACCAGTACATGGTAACCATTATAATCATTATCATCATCATTATCACCACCACCAGAAACATAATTAACATCATCATTATCAACAGTAAAAAATTCTGGAAACAAAGTGATCCCTCGGAAGCATTAATCACAACAAAATAACATAAGAATTGCAGACTCGGTTTGATTGAGTCTGTACATGAAGAATAATGTATAAGCGCAACATCCCTCACGCCCCCTAGCACCGGCCTGAGCGGTACTCAATTCTCAACACTTTATAGTAAAACATCCATATCATCATCATCAGATCATCATCGCAATTATCACATCATTATTATCGGTACCATCATTGTTGTTATGATAATTAAATCATCATCATCAACTACAACATTTCATCATCACCATAATCAATTCGAAATATTCACAATAAAGGGGTTATACATGTATATGAGCAAGTCAAGTTAATCACTTTTTAAATGATATTTTTCGATGTTAAAGCTCAAAAATATATTAATTGAAATAAATGAACATGTATACAAACATGTATGTCTCATTTAAAACAACAACAACAACAACAACAACAACTTAAAACAACAGTATGACGAGTATCGGACTTCGTGTAATAAAGCAATAACAATTATTTTTTATGGAAGTGACAATTTTTAAATGTATATTACTTTATTCTTGTAAGATTATTTGGCTGACATACTTTTCCTGAAAAAAAACCTTCATTTACTTTTTTGAGGCCCCATATTGGGTAACCTTATTTATTTGCTCCGTCACATAACCACGTTGGGTCAAAGCACATAAAACGGTGGTTTTACAGACAGTTCGTTAGACGATATTTATAAATGCAAAGAAAAGGTATACCCAAATGAAAGGCACATACATAGAGAAAAGGGAAAAAAACAAAGAAAAGATGCAAAACCACCCACATGTACACAAGCATGCACACACACAAGCACACACACACACATACTCGTACATGTTTATATTTAACATTAAAATTGTATAATTTTCAGATTTTCAGATACAATTTTGCTTAAATTTGACAGGTATTTTATTCCATACATAGTATTGATACATTGCAATACAGCAAACGACTTCAATATTTCCATCATCTTTGCTTGACGAACGTGTCAATCAAGAAAAATCAGAAAGTTGCATATAAATTGATAGTACCGTTGTTCTTTGTAAACAATATTCAAAACAAACAAATATTATAATGATAATGATATATAAATAAGGTAACAGTGTTTATGTAATTGTAAATGATTACCAAAATGTTTATTCAGTATTTTACATTACACAACAACACTTGATTGATTCTTGATCAAAACATCACTCTAATTTAACAATATTTACATGTAGTGTATTTACATTTCTTACAGTCATTATAGACACATTTCTTTATTATTCCTGATATATAATTCTCACCAATTTTCAAAGGCTACCTCTACTATTTGTTAGGCTTCGACATGAACACCTGTGCAATAATACCGATCTTTCCGTTGAAAATGTAACCATTGCCAACTTGCTGAATAGTATATGTTCCTAAAATTTCAAATGTTTTATATTGTGAATATGACCTAAAACTTTTTTTAACAATCACATGATTTTGTCCATTTGGTTGTCTATTTACTAGTATGCAGATCACAATTATATCACTCTCGGTCATATTTTTACTAATGTTTTCTACTTTAAAGAAAAGCTTATTTCCTTCTATCATTATGCTTGTCTTCAGAGGAACCTCCCACATATTAATATCAACTCCTTCACTTTCTTTGTTGTCTTTAGGAATAACATCAATAATAACTATGGTCTTGTCATCCCATTTCTTTTCAGGACTTTACTCCAAATCCTTCTATCCGTTACGTATTTCGGATGATATGTACTGCTTAAACAATAGATGTTCTTCAGCAACATGTTCAAACTC